AGAACCATAATTTTTATATAATTTCTACCTTTTGATTAATTTTAGGCAAAATAACTAGTTTTGTAATCAAAATCAGAGGGGCTTTGAAGTTTAAAGTGTTATTCAGAGTATTGTAGTTATATTTTTTGTGATTAAGCACCTATTTTACTCGATTTTTGAAGAAATCGAGCTTTGGCAATATTTTTTGAAATTTTTAATCCGTCAAAGTGTTGATTTCAGCACAAATTGGGCACAGTTTATATGATATTGGAGGGTTTTTGAAGCTCATGACGTTCTTCAAATTATTGTGTGAGTTATTTACTTTATTAACAAAGCTTTTTTCATCAATTTTTGAAGAAATCGTGACTGATTCACGAGTACCCGAAGAACCCTAAATTTTGAATTGAAAATTTCAATCAATATTAGTCGATTCAGATCGAATTGAAGTATTTATTATGATCCTCATTATTTCAATGTGTATATTTACTAGTATCATGATTTATCGTTTGGTAATTTTTTTATATGAATTTCTTTGTTGAAAATGCTCTGTGTAAAAATAGATTTTCTTGTTGAAAATGCTCTGTGTATAAATTTTCTTGAATCTAACTACATAATTAAACTTCCATGATACATCAAATTCACGTATGTTCTTATTTCTCTCAGTATAATAATAGATTTTTTTCTATTTTCTTGTAATTATAATCATAATTAAATTCCTTAATACATCAAATGTATATATGTTCTTATTTCTCTCAGTATATGAATAGGTTTTTTTCCTATTTTCTTGTAATTATAATCTAATAGTCCATTTCTATGTCATGAATGTATTTTTATCATGCAATAAAAAAATTTTAATTTTATCGTCAATTTTTTTATGTGCTCAAATGTATCTTCTTAAATCTAGATACGTAATTTAGTTTTGATTGATGCATCAAATGATTGTATGTTCTTGTTTCTCTCAGCATATATTTTTTATTTTATTTTCTTCTAATTATAATCTATGATTCAATTGTATGTCTTGAATGTATAATTATCATGCAAAAAAAACTTGTATTTTTTAATTTTATCATCAAGAGAACATATGTGGCGAGTCTATATGTAGTGGCATAATGAATGACTATATCATTATTAATTTTTTTTTTTTTTTTCTTATATTTGGCTTGCAGATTATTTTATATATAATGTTGCATAAATATAATATTTTTCCCAGTAAAAACTAAAATATTTTTGTCAGTAGAAGTATTTTGCATGAACAACAAAGACAACTTCATGAACTACCCGTACACATTATCACTACATACGGTGCTTATTTTTCTTGTTGAATCGTCAGGTTCATTTTTAACCATTTACTTCTTAAAACAGTTGAATCATGGAAAACCTTGCATGGCAACATAGGGTCTGTCTTGATCCTAACAAAAAAGAAAAAATTATTTGTAATTACTACATAAAAGTAATTTGTAATGCGGTACATAGGTTCAAGCAACACTTAGCATGGGTTAAGGGAGATGTTTCTGCATACAATAGTGTCCCTAGCAATGTAAGAAAACAGATGGAGGTCATTTTCAAGTCTATCAAGCGTAAAAAAGTTGCAAAGCAGATGATGAATGAGGAGATAGATAACTTATAAATACCATCGAGCGGGATAGATCCAAAAGAGCAATATAATCATGACTTGGAGATGGTCACAAAAATGAGCTTTCACAAAACGTACTAAATGGAAAGCTGGTTTGGAATGCCTGATGGTTATGGCATGGGCATGCATAGCGGGCTTAGCTCGAGCATACATGGCGGGCCTAGCTCGAGCATATATAGCAGGCTCAGCTCGAATATGTATGGAGGGGTTAGTTGCAATATGTATCCAAAGGCACCGAACATTGAGAAAATTGTTCCTGGCTTATCTATGAGCACCACTAGTGCAAGTCATGGTCACATAAACTCATTTCTCTCAAAGCCCAAGTCACAACATGTGACCCTCAAAGGCATAGTGAAAGCCACAAGGAACATGATGGGCAGATATGTTGGTAAATAGTTCTACAGTAAAAGGATCTCCTTTGATGTAGCCAATAGCCCATATTTCTCGCATATGATCAAAGCAATCTAAATAATCGGGCTCGAAGCTCAGTAGGCTGAACTTGGATGAAGAGGTGGATGACGTTAGGGAGTAGATTGAATAATATAAATAAGGTTGGCCAAGAATAGGCATTACTCTCATGATTGATGGTTTGTTAAATAAAGTTAGCATAAAGGAATATCTTAACTTCTTGGCTTATTGCCCAAAAGGTACAACCTTCTTATCTAGCAAAAACATCTCAGAAAAAAAAAAAAAATGCAAATTTCTTAGTACTATTATATGACCAGGTAGTGGAGGAGGTGAGAGATAAGCATATGGTCCAGTTTATTACGGATAATGCGAGTGCTTGTGTTTCTATATGCAACAAATTGATGGATAAGAGGAAGCATATAATATAAACCCTGTGTACTACACACAGCATCGATCTTATGTTAGAGGAGATCGACTAGATCAAAATTGTGAATGAGACTCTAAAGGCAACGAGTTTTGTGCAAAAATTTACATATAACCACTCTAAAATATTATTTTTGTTCAAAGAACAATATGAGAAAAAAGATATAACCATGCCTTTCATAACCAACTTTGCGACATATTACTTGGTTATGGACTCAATTCAGAAATCCCAAGTTGCATTGAAGAGACTGTTTACCAACAAAGAGTGGTTAAACGAGCACCTCTCGAAGTTTAGAAATGGCCTAAAAGTAGACGGCATAGTCACAGATAGAAGGTTCTGGTCTCGGTGTTCCAATGTCGTAGCGGTCATTACCCATTTGGTCACGGTGTTAAGAATGGTGGATGCTGACAAGAAAGCTATTATTGGTAGCTTTTACAATGCTATCGATAGGGTCAAATCAGCTATTGAGGAGAAGAATAGTTTTGCTAGTAAAGTTATCAAGATTATAGAAAGAATGTGAAACACTAAATTAGGCCACCCACTTCCTTATGCATGTACATATATATTTATATTTTTAGAATGTTTAATTTCAAAATATATTTTTAATGTGCGTTTAAATGACCTTTCTCTATCTATGTATTTTTTACGTCACTACTTCAACCTAAAAAAAATTTCTTTGACAGCTGAATATCCCAATAAGATTATGGAAGGGGTCATATACATTATTGCTAGGCTGACGAAAAGTCATCAAAACCAAGTAGTGGAAATACAGGAGGTAAGATTTAATATTTGGGTAAGAGCTTTATTGAGTTGTTATATTTAACTAATGCACAAAAACAAAATATATTTTTTTAGCTTTCTATGTATATGGATGTTGTAGGATCCTTTGGAGCTAGACTTGTCAGGAATTCTCAAACTAAGATGGATCTAGGTTAACCCTAACTAATATTTTGTTCTTGCATTTTAATCTAGCTGAATGGTGGGAGATATATGGTATTAATGCACGTCACCTAAGAAAGATAGCAATCAAGGTGCTCTCCCAAACATGTCCTGTTGTTAGGTGTGAGCAAAACTAGAGTACGTTCCAATGGTTGCACACTGCTAGGAAGAATCGACTCGCTTCAGAGATGCTTCATAAACTAGTCTACATTCATTACAACTTAAACCTTCAAATACAACAAATAAAAAAGAAGCTTGAATACTACGAATCGATAGACTTGGACACAATATTTATCACAAACACAACAAAACAATGGGTGGTAGAGGAAAATGAGCCAGTGTTGCACAAGAGAGCATTCCTTAAGACTATCGGTGAGGAGGATCATGAAAAAGGTGATGAACAATGTGAAAGATGAAGCAGCCCGTCAACACATCCACAAGTCGTCAGTGGTGTTGCACCTAATGAGGGAGAGTAAGAAGGGGGTATAAGGGAAAATGAGAGAGATGGTGATTTTGAAGCCACCATATCCCAACCAAGTTAATCACATACCGAGTCCCAACAGTAAAAAGGTAAGGGTGAGTACGATAGTGTAGGTGAGCATGAAAGCTGGGCAAGCTTTGGGGATTTAGGATTAGGAGCGCAACAAAACACTAACACTCGGGGGATTTAGTTATAGTCCGGTGCCCACTAATTTGGATTATTCGTTCTTAGATCGATTCAATTAATTGTCACGTAAATTCAATCAATGGCACCAACGTGACCAAGATGAAGAATGGCTTTGTCTTTCATTTTGGTATTAGGTCGTATTTTACGAATTTTATGCTTTATGCAGTTCATGTATGAAGATATACTTCATCCATGCTAATTCTACTCTTTTCTTTTTGTGTGATGTAAATTTAATAGTTAACTGTAGTTCATACAAGAAAGAACATCTCAATGTTCGCATATTGATAGTAAAAAATGAAAGTTCTTAATGGAATACCCCTATTTCTTATTGTATTCCTAAAAAACAACATTTATAATGAATTTTAATAATTTTTTTAGATTTTTTTAAAGATGAATCCAAACGATTCAACCTATTTTCGATTCACCGATCTGTTTTTTAAACCACTGCTTTATCCTAGTTTTCAAAGCCCAGATCCGTGGGGTGAGTTGTCTAATCTACATATCCATATAGAATCGTTGAATTGCCGATTTGGATATGTTCGAAACTGAAATCCAAAAGCTAATAAAAACTTAGAATAGGGGCATATTGGTTGGGATTTATAAAAGACTTAAGGAACATATTAGATGGGCTCAAAAAAAAGAAAAAACAATGTGAAAGGGGCTTTCTTAGTATTATTATTATTATTATTATTTTTTTGGGGTGGGGACCTAGATATTAGATATGGCAAGGGCAGGCCCCACATTAGGCCTGGCCCGGCCCTAGTCTCTATAGGGCTGGTCCTTGCCCAGCTCGGGCCATCATGGTCGGCCAGGCCAAGTATAATCCAAAAACACTAAAGAAAAAAAAAAAATTAGGAAAAAAAGGTTGGGCGACCATGCGATGGCCTAGGCCTACGACCGGGCCGGCCCTCGCGGCAGATCTTATAGCCCAGACCCTTGGTTTTCATGCGTTAGGCCGGACGGCACTGTCACCCCCCAGTGGAACCGAAGTCCAGCAGAAACAGACCATTAATGGACGGGGAAGAGAGGGAAACGCGAAGAAGACGTCATCCATCGTCAACACATGTCCAGCTTCCACTAACGGCTTTGCTATTCCGTTGATAAACGTCTCGAACGATTCGCTGTCAATTTGAACGCACCTTGAGTTCCGCAGCCGCGGCATCACATTCCACGGTCCACTATTTCTTAATTTCTCTCTCTCTACAAAAAAAAAAGCCCCTCTCTCTCTCTCTCTCTAAATTTTTGTTTCCTATAAACGAATGCCTTTGGTTTATCCATGAACGCTCGACAAGCCAAAACGTTGGCGATTTCGTTGAAATTTCAGAGGTGCAATTCTTCTTCTTTCTAATTTGTGCTCAAATTTCCCTTTCTCTATCACCTTCACGCTGACATTTCACTTCTCCCTCTAGGCTTCCTTGAAATTTCTCTTCTCCGCTGCTGATTATCCTCGAAATTTCGGAGGAAAGGCCTCTGTAATTTACGGAAGTCATAAAATTATGAGATATAGACTGTTTATACTTTCTAGGGTTTCAGAAACATGGTTCATGATATCGCTATTCCTTCCAATAGGTTTGATTTCTCCCAATTATAGATGCTGCCTCTCTCTCTCTCTCTGATCATCCGTGAAATCTGGATTAAATTATCAGATTATGCTGAAGTTTGTTTGAATAATCCTCAATGTTTTATGAATAACCCCAAATTTCCAGAGAAATGGCTTGTTTATTCGAGATAGGTGCAAAGCCCCCAATTTCTCTTCAAACCCAAGGTTTGAAGACCCCATGATTCTGGTTACTGCAAAATTCATAGAATAAATGAGTTTTTCAATGGCTTCTTATGTAAATCTTGTTGTATCAGGGATATTATTTTATATTTTTCATTAGAGTGAACCATTCATTATTTTGCATTTTGCAGGAATCAAGGGGAAGTTTTTGACTCATAATCATATTGGGGGGAAATCATTTCACATAAGTTTTGCCCTATTTCCCATTATCGCTGTAAGTATTTAAGGAATTAACTTGCGCTTTAAAGTTTAAATTATATGGAACATTAACTGCTTTCATATGCTTATTGTCTTGGGATCTCTTGCATTTTGAAGATAATAATCATCCTTCTTGTTTTGTAATAATTTCAAAATTTTCATAACATTGAGAATCATTTACACTTTCAATTACTTATCTTTAATCAATGGTTCATATTGACTTCCCATCTTGTTTTTAGAAATAAATTATCTTTTCTTTAATGATTTTTAATGCAAGTTGCAAGGAAGCTAATTAGAATGCCTCTTTGACCAAAATTTGCTTATTTTGATCACTAGTGGTCATTAACTAGTTGCAATTGTTTCCACTAGACATTAAAAACTTAGCATAAGGATAATGCCTTGATTTCCATGGCATAAATATTAGCCATTAGGACTTAAGATGCAATCTTTTTAATGTTGAGTTAGTGGATTTCCAAGTACTGAATAAGGCTCTTTTGGTAAGGAAATGTCATTGATTTTTCTCGTATATCTTTTGACAAAGTGATGTCGGCTAGCACTGATCACGCCTAGCTAACCCATCAAAAAAAAAAAAAAAAAAAGGAAAAAGGTTAAAGTCCAATTATTTAAACTTAGGAATTTGAAAGTAGGTGAGTTTTGTGGGAAGTTTGATAACCCAAATGGGGGTTGGTTACCGTCTAAAAAGATGGGGTTTTTCAAATGGGCCAGCTAGATGCTCTTGAACCGAATTTACTTCCAATTTCGATTGCCCATCTAAAACATAATCTCTCTCTCTC